TGTGGGGTGAAGGTTGTGAAGGAGCCTGCAAATCTTAGAGAACAGGCCTCAGCTATCCTCAGCCTGTAGAAGGAAGAAGATACTATGGTGGTGGCTGGCCTCATATTACCCTGCCTGTGCCTGGCAGCAACTCCCATGAGCCTCAGGGCTGAGCAGGCTGTGGCCCTGGGGGGAAGACCTCAGGTCTAAGAAGCATGACATCTGCTTTGACTCAGACTGTGCACAGAGCGTCCTTTGGACCCCTAGGGGATCACAAGGACACTGGCTGGATCGTTTCAGTAAACACCCCAGAGGTGTTTTGCCCAGTGGATCTGACTTGAGACTTGGATCTCCTCTCAGTCACCTGATACTAGGCTGCCTGCTATAGGCCGGACAGAACATGCTAGGGTGATGGAGACAGGGCCTCACTGTTTCCACTGTAAGAAGGTAATGCTAGATTCTAGACTCTGCTCAGACCACAATATCTGTGGGAGCCTCCTCTTCCTCTTTCACAGACACCCACAGGCACGCTACTGTGAGTCCCTAGCTAACAGACAGTCCTGGTGCCAGGATCTCTCACTGGGAAGTGAGTTAACATCAAAGGGGAGTTTGGTGATCACAGAACCTACTCCTTCCCTGCTTTCCTAGCTTTTATCTAAGAATCAGAGAGACTTGGCTCTTGCTATGAAACCTTCCCCATCCTTGGAGAGCTGTAAGAGACTCCTTCCTCTGCCTCATGGGCTCTGACTCCTCTCTTCAGAGACTCCACCACACTGTCTCTGGTGCTAGGGCCTGAACTTGTCTCACAGCCCACCCCCTCATGCTATCACCTCTCATTCTGTCTAGTCATGATGTTAATAACTCTTTTAATAATGCCTTATTCTCCAGAAATTCATCTTAGTGTCCTCCTGAACAGGCTTCCAAAACCTGGCATCCCCCATCAACAATTTTTCCTTCCCAGAGCCACCTACACTAGGCACCCCTGTCTCCTAAGGACAAACCTAGCCTCATGGCCCTGTATTCACACACACTCTTCTGGTCTCTCTCTCTCTCTCTCTCTCTCTCTCTCTCTCTCTCTCTCTCTCATACATATTCCCGCTTCTCTTAACATTCATGTTCATATGCTCTGGATCATGAGCTTAAACCTCCCTGCCCTGACACAGACTCTGTCCAAGCCCTACCCCACAAGCCTTGATGCTAGACCAACAGTCCCTCACGCCTTCTTCCTGTGACCTTTGATCTACAGGCTGCTTTGACTTCTCTGTCACATGTGATGGGAGGGCCACAGGGTGAGTATGGTGATGAGGCCTTGGTAATACCTGAGGCTGTCCCCAGACAGATTTAGCCCACAGCATCCTCACACCCATACCATTTTGCTCCAGGGTAGTACTGAGGAGAGACCCTGTGTGGAAGCCACTGCCAAGGAAAGCACTGCTACTCAGTGATGTGCTGTATCCCTGACCTTTTCCTATTTCCTGCTTTGATTTCTGTGGTACTCTGGGATATAGGGACAGCAGCAGGCCACAGGGACCAGGTAGGAAGACAATAGGGGTCTCCCTTAGTGCAGGCAAGGGCTAGACAGATTGCAAGGTGTCTGTGTCTGTGCTACTATTCCATGTCTTCCTCTCCCCAAGGATCTTGCATGACTGATTATTTCTGTAAGGAAGCGCTGCCAGCCCAACACCCAAGGAAAACATTGCTTTCCCCCCCCACAATGTTTTCCTTTTCCTGTAAGGTGACTGTTCTACCAGGTACTCTGGTCCCAGTGCTCTGCTGCTCTTGGGCACAAGGAACAACACCTGCAAGCACCTATCCTGTGTCCCCTCATATGCTCCTAAGGGGCTCTAATTGACCTTTTCCACATGGCTTTCAAGGCTGTGCACAGGCTGCCCCATGAACACCAACTTGATAAGGATTCCATGCTGGTCAAGTCTGTGGGTGCACACCATGACCACATGTGGCTGAGGCCTCCCACCAGTTTGCACACTTTTCCCTCCTTCAGACTAAGTCCTGGCACTGAAGGCAATACCATTGGCCCACCGAGTTAGAGTTGCCCCGGGGTTGGAGAGTGGCCAGGCCACATGGAGGGGAGAACCTTCTTCCTCCACTGCAGTCTTTGTTTATGAATGCATAGAATCTTAAAGTATATTCTAGAGAATAGATTTCCTTCATTGTACATCCATAATCTAGTCTTTCATATTGAAAATGTTTGGAATAAAATAATTCTTTTCTTGCTTTTATTGTTGTTTTATGTTTCATTTGAAGATATCTCCATTTCTACAGAAGTGTATTTCAGACCACGTAGTCACAAAGAACATACTGCTTTTTACAATTATGTAGGGTAAAGGACTGAAACAGCAGGAAGAGTTACAGTAGGTGTTTAATATCATGGGTCCTGAGGGTGCAGGGCCCACACTAGACTAAGTGGCAAAGTGAAGGCCCTGTGGGCTAACGTGTGAAGGGAATCAAGGCCATGATGGCCTGTTTATGTTTAGACAACATGGTGCTGATACAAATTTCTGGCATGAACCAAAATGGCTAATGCTAGATATCTGGAGGTCTATGAGTCAGCACAAAATGACTTATGCTATATGTCCAGGGACCCCAAAAGTAAACAGTGATATAATCTTTTATGTAATCAGTTTTGGCTAGAAACCGCCTTTGCCTAATTTCCTATAAAAGTCCCTGGGACCAAGGGCATATGTGCTGTTGCTCAGTGTCTGCCTGCCCAGCAGCCTGTGTGCCCTCTTCTGGAGACAATAAAGCCTATCTCATTTACCAGCAGCTCCATGAGTCTCTGGGATCCTCTGGCCCCTTCATTCCTGGCCCCCTCAAACTGGGCCTCCACAGTGTGGCTCTCTGGCCGTGAGCTGAGGCATTGTGCTGGGCAGAGAAATGCTGGGGTTAGGAGTCCCTGATACTTTGTCCTTTTGGGGGTTTAATTGTTGTAGTTACCATTCAGGGTAGTGAGTTTCGTCATGAGCTGATCATACATATATCATATCATACCACCCGTTTGTTGCCTCCTACCCCCTAAGTAAGCACCCCCCTTCTGCATTCTTGCCACAGAGAACACTGCCTTCTCTTGTTCCAAGTGATCTTCTGGTTCACCTTAGCACGCTAGCTCCAGTGCTGGCTGAGTTTTATTCATTGTGGAAGTAGTGGCATTGAAGGCTTTCTGCAAAACTTCTGTTCCTGAGTTAATGCCAAAACTCATTACCTATAAACTGCTTAGGCAGGAGCTGAGAGGACCTTCATAGCTTTCCTTGGTCTGAAAGACAAAGAGTGCTCTGAATGTGTGATATCCAGAGGGGACCACTGACAGGGTCTGGCCTTCCTCTGAGCTGGGCCCCTTTCACAGTGTTCAAGGAAGCTATCTTACCACTGTCCATTTTTCAGGTACCTCTTTGAATGGCAGAGTAGATGCAGGGCTGGATGGGTGGACACGCTCTGCTTTGAACTTCCTGGGCACTGGCACTTCTTGAGCAGCAATGTGGACAGCAAGGACTGCAGCCAGGGGCAGTGGTGAATGGTTGACGATGCCCAGGAAGTGTGAAGCAGGACCCTGGACAGACAGTGAGACCCATATGGAGATGGAGGGCAAGAACAGAACAAGGAACAAAGAATGAGGTGAAGACACTGGTTAGTCAGTACAGAGCATTTGAGGTTCAATCAAATCCAGGCTGGAGGTTGCTATTGATGAAGGCTTACCCAAGAAGATGGTGTGTAGTAGACAGCAAGATGAAGGAGTAGGGGAACAAAGGAGAAAGAGGAAGAGGGGCAGGAGGAGGGGGAGAGGAAGAGGAAGAGAAGGAGAATGAGAAGGAAGAGGAGGAGGTGGGGGAAGAGTATGAGGAAGGGAGGGGAGGGTGGGAGGAGGATGAGGGGAAGGAGGAGTAGGAAGAGAGGAAGAGAAAAAGGAGAAATAGGAAGAGGAAAAGGAGCAGGAGGATGAGGAGAGGAAGAAAAAGAGAAGGAGGAGGAGGGGAGGGGAAGGAGGGAGAGGAAATGAGTAAAAGTAGAAGAGGTACCAGGGGTGGCAGGCCAAGGCTGGGACATCTGGACTCAGCTGCTTAAAGTGGCATTTTATCATAATTTAGATAGCTTTCTGGGACAAGTGAATGGCCAATTAAAAGATAAAGTTCCTAAATATTACATTATGATTCAAAATGAACCACGGATTCACTACAGACTTAAATGGAGAAAGTAAAGTAAGCAAAGAGGAAATTAAACAGTGGGCCATATGGGAGGGCTGGGACAGGGGCAGAAATGTGTTATGGCTTTATCTGGAGAGCCAGCGCTGCTTTCTCCACAAAATCTTGCACCCTCTATGAAACCATTAAAGTGGCCTTTGTTCACTGAAACCGCTTAAGTTTCATCGGGGAGGATAAAGGATGGAGGGATGAGGAAACCCGTATGGAGATTCTGAGAAATTTTTTGTTTGTTTTGGTTTTTGTTGTTGTTTTTTTGCTTGCTTGCACCCTTATTTTGAGAAAGGATTTCACTATGCTACTAGGCTAGCTTGGAACTCAAGATTCTGCTGAGGTCAAACTGCAAATTCTTAGGCGAGTTTTCTTCAGCACCCTCAAGATCCATTCTAAAGGAGTTACGTTCAAAGACCGCTTTCCTACATGTGTGAGGAGGCCTTGAGCAAAGGCTCTGAACCCTCCACCAAGCCATCCAAATGTTTGACAGTTTTGGGAGCCGAAATTGGGCAAGCTGGGTAGGCGCATTAGCGCTGAGCACCGTTGGTTGCCAATAGTAACTGATGTCTGAGGCACGCTCTGGAGCACGCGCACGTTTGACAGTGTCGCTGGGCAAGGACAGTTCTACTGTCTCTGAGGTGACAGATGCTCAACCAGGCATCTCCTCTGTGGGAGTACCCTGGAGAGACTGAAGTGGTTGATTTAGCAAAAGCACTGAGATTGGAGTTAGGAGGGGCTGGGTTACTAAGATTGAGCTGTGTAGGCCAGGAAGGTTCTTGGGTGAAGGAAAGGATCAGCGAGGCCGCAGTCAGACCCATGAAGAAAATCTTCACGGGCCAGTCACCTTTGGGCTTCCTGGGCTTTAGGCATGCGAGCGCTGAGAGCCAAGAGATGCCCAGTTACCTCAGTGGGTACAAACCCGTGAAAAGGATGCACAAGGCTGCAAGTGTGGGGGACATTACCCAAGTACAGCGCATGCTCATATTTGAGGATGTTGACGTGAATATTACAGACCGGAAGAAAAGGCAAGGGGGCCCGATGGGGTGTGACTGGGAAGAGGGGTGAGGGGCAGCCTGGCCTAAGGGGGGAGAAATGCCACCTTTCCGTTCTTGACCCCAGGGGAACCTGGGAAAGAAGGGAGGCTTTTATGAGGAATAGTGCCAATGCAGTCTCCTCAGCACTGAGAACCTGCACAAGGGGATGGGTCTGGAGCCCAGGTGTTCTTTATGAGAAGCAAAGAAAAATAAACTAAACCTTAGCTGGTTTTCAAATCCATATATAAGTCCCCTTTTAGATCACTTTATTGTCAGCTTAAAAGAGACATCACGGCAGGGTGTGGTGGCGCATACCTTTAATCCCAGCACTCAGGCAGATCTCTGTGAGTTCAAGGCCAGCCTGGTCTATATAGTGAGTACCAGGACAGCTGGGGCTACAGGGAGACCCTGTCTCAAAGAAACCAAAAAAAAAAAAGGGACATCACCAACAAAATGGAGACTCTACAGCACTTTCTTTAAAGGTGCACATAAAAATTGATGACGTTTTCCATGTCAGGGCACAAAACTCATTGAATAAAATCCAATATCCATTTTATTTCTCTGTAACCAGTGAGAAGATGGTCTCATGGTCTTTTTTCTCTAAAAAAAGGGATCACCAACAAAATGGAGACTCTACAGCACTTTCTTTAAAGGTGCACATAAAAATTGATGACGTTTTCCATGTCAGGGCACAAAACTCATTGAATAAAATCCAATATCCATTTTATTTCTCTGTAACCAGTGAGAAGATGGTCTCATGGTCTTTTTTCTCTAAGAGGTGCTTCCTATGGGGCTATTCAGGGTGCCTTTCCACTCTTCAGCAGCTTACTTGCCACATGCTTCCTTAGTGCTTAGTCCGGCTAGTCTGAAGTGTCAACATCATTTTGATTAGCCCGCTGATTTCATTCCTAGGATTCGTGGAGAAGCTCTGGGTTTTCCACAGTTTCCTCATTAGCTTCCATTTCTTTCTCTTGATGCAGGAGCAGATATTCACTGACAACTTTCACACCCTTCAAAGCACTAAACTCATGGGACTTTGTCAATTTGGTCCCCACTTCAGGCAGACCTAGTCAACAATCTATTTGGATATCTGGGAAGTTGCTCATTCTCTCTGTTGAGGATGGTGGTACCTTGCTCCTGACTGTGTTTTCTGGCATAGGAAAACCCGTTCTCACAAGCATGACCTCTTTTTATGTTGGTCAAGTTTATATTAACCAAATAGAAACATCAATGTTTTACATTTTTGAGTTACATATACTGTATTTTATTGTTGGGATGACATGAAGAAAATGTTTATAATAACTTGAACTTGTATGTATCAAAATATACTATTTTTAAAAATTTGATCATAACAACAAAAAATACAAATAAATGAGTGTAACACAAGAGAAATATCTAGAAACATCCAAATACAAGTAAGAATTTGCCACTCAGGGGCATAGTATAGTTGTGGGAAAAGTTGTATTATTTGTTAATGAAATGTCTCTTAACTGAAGAAAAGTAGCTAGATTTTCTCGTGGACTATGGATTAAAATTTAGAAATTACAAACAAGAGCCAGCAAGAAAAAAAAGTTGCTCATCAAATGAGGAAAAATAGCCAATTCAGTTATATACACACCATATAGTCTGCAATTTCACATTGCCTAAAAGTATGTACAAATGCAGTATTTTTCAGATATTTGAATGAATGAAATTTTCCTTTTATTACCATTTAGAAGTTTGTTCCAAATATTTAAAAGTTTTCCATTTTTCTTCTTTGTTGAGTCTGCTTTAATTTCATTGGTATTTACTGTTTTCATTTGCCTTATCTCTGATTTTCACAGTGAAACACATACAGAAGTTCTATTCCTAATAAAATATTATTTGTAATAAGACATACCTCATTACGGGAATAGCGGGATCATGAATCTTGAACAGAGAACTTGCTCCTCCTTATTTCTCTGTTCTTTCAACTTTTATCCTCTTCAGAAGTTAAAAGAATGTTTTTATCTGCGATTATAGAAGTTATTATGTGTAAATATCACTATACACAAATGATTTTTTTGTATACAAAACGATGGTTTAATCATTTAATTTTAGTTTTGTCCTAATGAAAAGTTAGAAAATATGAATAAATATAAATGATTGCTACTATTGCAAAAATATTGCTTAACTTGATGGGATATTCTTTAGAAATATCAAGTTCTACATCTATGTCCCATTTTTCAATCTACAAGCATAATCAGTGATAGAGTGCTAGGCTTGCACGTGAGAGACCAAGTGCTGGATTTTCAGCACTGCTCAATAAAAATAAATAATAGGCGGCTGTGTCTGAATAAAATTCAGTACATGACAATGTTTACGGCCCACGGACAACTATCTTTTGGTATAATACTGTACAATAGCCTTAAAAGCATTCTCTTTTTCACAGGACTGCTCTGCACGATGCCAGTGCTCACGGCCAACCGGAAATGGTGTCTCTCTTACTGTGGTATGAGTGCAACATCGATGTCTGTGATCGTGATAAAAGCACAGCTCTGATTAAGGTAATAGGGAACTAACAATTTCAGCAGGAGATGGACTTGAATAATCCTCAGGTTAATCTTCAGGTGTGGTGGCTCAGTCCTGTAATTCCATTATATGAGAGGCAGAGATAGGAGGATTGTGATTCCAGACTAACCTGAGCTACTTAGCAAGTTTGATCCAGCCTGAGATACATAAGGAAACCTTGTCTCAAAACCTTTTATAGCGCTGGCTGTGGAGCGCCTGCACCAGATTGGTGCAGGCCTTCAATCTCAGCACTTAGGAGGCAGAGGCAGGTAGAGCTCTGTGAGATCGAGGTCAGCCTGGTCTGAAAGCAAGTTCCAGGCCAGCTGGGGCTATAGGGAGACGTATCTCAAAAAACAAAACAAAAACCTTTTTATAAAAAAGAAAACTATGGCCGTATGCCTGTAGTCTCAGCACTTTGGAGGCAGAGGCAGTTGGATCTCTGTGAGTTCAAGGCCAGCCTGGTCTACATAGTGAGTTCCAGGACAGCTGGGGCTACAGGGAGACCCTGCTTCAAAAAGACAAAAAAACAAAAAAAGGAAAAAAAGAAAAGAAAACTATGGGCCTGGAGAAGTTGGCTCAGTGGTTAAAAGCACTGACTGCTCTTGCAGAGGACCTGGATTTGATTCCCACCACCCACATGGTGGCTAACAACCATCCATAACTCTTGTTCCAGGGGATCCAACCTCTCTTCTGACTTCCAGGGGCATTTCATGACACAGGTGCACTTACACGCATGCAGGCAATACACTCATACAAATAATAACAATAGTAACCTCAGCAGACTACCTGAGAGTGCCTGGATTTGGCCTCCATTGGTGGTGAGCTTCCCCAAATCACCCTGGTGCACAACCCCCTGACAGTGACCATGTGAAGCCCCTCCCACTTCACCAGGCCTAGACTTTTCTAGCCTACAGTAGGGACCGAGACCTTAGCAGACTGCCCGAGACTACCAAAATTGGGCTTCCCCTTACTGAACTTCCCAAATTGTGCTGTGGGTGCCCACTAGTAGGGGTTCAGACCTTAGACGGAAACTTCAGTGTACCTGACTGGAGCCTGACTTGGGCCTCTGTGGGAGCTCCTGAGTAGCTGATCTGAAGCCATCAGTTCCTTCCAATATAAAATCTGAGAGAGCCTAAAACCTAGATCAACCAGCTTTATGCACCCAATAAGAATACAACCAAAGCACATTAACATAAACAGACGCAGACTTCAACTCAACAAAGGAAGGCTTGAGTTTCATACCAGAATCACAAACAGAAGAAATCCACATGCCAAAAATCACAACAGAACAATAATAATATAGAAAACCAAACCAGTAAGCTCCCACCAAAATCTACCAGTCCTATAGAAGAGCTCTACAAAGAGAACCCCCTGGAGATAACCCAAGACACAGAATTTAAAATAAAAATCATAAACATGATCAAAGAATTCAGTGAATTTAAAGAACACACAAAGAACTAAAAGAAGATAGGGATAAACTTCTGACTGAATTCACAAAAGAGAAACATTGAAGAAAACTCAGGCTGAAATGAAGAAGGAAGTGAAATATAAGCCAATTTGAAACAATAGGAGAAAGCCTCACTGCTAGAGTAAATGAAATGGAAAACAGAATAAAAACACTGAAGGATAAAGTTGAAGAATTGGACCACTCAAGCAAAGATTATGAAAAATTAAAAAAAAACCACAGGAATGGAATATGCAGGAAATATGGGACACCATGAGAAGACCAAATCTATGCATCACAGGCATAGAGGGAGGAGAAGAATTTCAGATTAACAGTATTGGCCAGATCTTAAACAGGATTGTAGAAGAGAATTTCCCAAAATTAAGGAAAGACATCCCCATACAAATACAAAAAGCACATAGAACACCAAATAGACAGCACCAGAAAAGAAACTCCCCATGGCATATCACATGAAAACACTAAATGTACAGAACAAAGAGGGAAATCTGCAAAAGAAAAACAACAACTCATAGATAAATGAAAACACATCAGAATTACAGTTGACTTATCAATGCAAACTAAGAGCCTGGACCAAGGTATTTCCAGTTCTAAATGACCATAGATGCCAACCCAGAATACTTTACCCAGTAAAAATGTCTATTAGAGTTGAAGGGGAAAGAAAAATCTTCCACAACATGAATAGGCTGAAAGAATATATGTCCACAAAACCAGCCTTTCAAAGAATATTTAAAGCAATAGAAAGAACAGAGAAAGGAAAAACTATGCCCTGGGGACAACAGAAAGAAACTAAATGAAGGTATAATTGTAGAAACAAAATTAGACAAAGAATGCAAACAGTAATCAAAATGATGGTAACCAATACACATCTTTCAATAATAACTTTAAATATCAATGGACTGAACTCCCCAGTCAAAGATAGAGGCTAGGCTGGGCATGGTGGCACATGCCTTTAATTCCAGCACTCAGGAGGCAAAGGCAGGTGGATCTTTGTGAGTTCAACGCCAGCCTGGTCTACATAGTGAGTTCCAGGACAGCTGGGGCTACAGGGAGACCCTGTCTCAAAGAGACCAAAAGGAAAAAAAAAAGATACAGGCTAGGTGAATGGATTATGAAACAAAATCCATCTTTTTGTTGTCTGCAAGAAACCCATCTCACCTTCAAGGACAGGCACTACCTTAATGTAAAAGGATGGAAAAGAATATTTCAAGTAAATGGCACTAAGAAAGAAGCAGGGGTTGCAATTCTAATATCTGACAAAATAGACTTCAAACTAAAATCAGAAGAGATAAAGAAGGGTCACTTCATTCTGATCAAAGGAACAATTAACAAAGAAGATATTACAATCATGAACATATATGCACCAAACTCTGGTGCACCCAGATTCATAAAAACAACACTACAGGACTTTAAGCCACAGATTTGTCCCAACTCAGTAATAGAAGGGGATTTTAATACACCACTGTCACCATTAGACAGGTCAACTGGACAAAGAATAAACAGACATCTGAATTAAATGATACCATACAGCAAATGGACTGAACAGGCATCTTACAAATAGTCTACCCAAGCACCAAAGAATAAACTTTCTATTCAGCACCCCATGGAACTTTCTCAAAAATTGACCACATACTGGGGCACAAAACGAACTGTGAAAAAAAAAAAAAAACTGAAATAATTCCATGCATTCCATCATACCACAATGTAATAAAGCTTATAATTGATACTGGAAGAATCCCTAGTAACTCACGAACTCATGGAGATTAAACAACACACTCCTGAATGATGAGTGGGTCAAAAGAGAAATTAAGAAAGAAATAAAAGTACTCCTGGAATTCAATGAAAAGGACAATACAACACAGCAAAACTTCTGGAACACTTTAAAAGCAGTCCTAAGAGGGAAGTTTATAGCTCTAAGTGCCTACATTAAAAAATCAGAAAGAACACAAATAAATGACTTAATATTGCAACTCAAGACCCTGAAAATGCAAGAACAAATGAAACCCAAACCTACTAGATGAGAAGAAACAAAAATCAGAGCAGAAATTAGTGAAATAGAAACAAAGAAACAATACAAAGAATCAATGAACCTAAGAGTTGATTCTTTGAAAAGCTAAACAAGATAGACAGACCCTTAACCCAGTTAACCAAAAGAAAGAAAAAGCAAATCCAAATCAACAAAATCAGAGATGAAAGGGGAACATCACAACAGACACCCAAAAGATCCACAACATTATGAGGGAATACTTTAAAAACCTAAGCTGGGTGTGGTAGCGCATGCCTTTAATCCCAGCACTTGGGAGGCAGAGGCTGGGGCACTCTCATTGAAAGTTCCATCTCCAATGAACCAGTGATTTTAAATGTCAGAGGTTATGCTCTAGTATCCTGTTCTGTCCAAGGGAGACCTTGTCTCAAAAAGACAAAACAAACAAACAAACAAACAAACAAACAGGAAAACCCCTATACTCTATTAAATTTGAAAACCTAAAAGAAATAGATGGGGATCTAAAATCATGGGAGCCATCACAGTAAACCAAGAAGAGATCAACAGTTTAAACAGACCCATAATATATAAGAAAATTGAAACAGTAATATAAAATCTCCTGACTAAAAGAAGCCCAGGCCCAGATGGGTTTACAGGAGAATTCTACCAGACATTTAAAGAAGACCTCCAACCAATACTACTTAAGCTATTCAAAATTGTAGAAACAGAGGGAGAACCCCCAAATTCCTTCTATGGAGCCAGCATCACTTAATACCAAAACCAGGTAAAGACACAACCAAAAAAGAAAACTGTAGACCCATATCTTTAATGAACATAGATGCAAAAATTCTCAACAAAACACTTGCAAACCACATACAGCTATACATTAAAAAGATCATTCACCATGATCAAGTAGGCTTTATTCCAGAGTTGCAGGTATGGTTCAATATACACAAGTCAATAAACATCATCAATCATATAAATGGACTCAAAGACAAAAACCACATCATCATCTAATAGATTCAGAAAAGGCGCCTTCAACAAAATTCAGCATGCATTCATATAAAAGTCTTAAAGGGAATTGGACTGGATGGAACATACCTCAACATAATTAAAGCTATATACAACAAACCCACAGCCAACATCATTCTAAATGGAAAAAAATTGGAAGCATTCCCATTAAAATCAGGAACCAGACAAGGATGTCCACTATCTCCACTTCTTTTCAATACAGTGCTTGAAACTCTTGCTAGAGCAATAAGACAAGAGAAGGAAATTAAAGGAGCACTAGTTGGAAAAGTAGAGGCCAAATTATCCCTTTTTGCAGATGATATGATACTATACCTAAGAGATCCCAAAAATTCCACCAGAAAACACCTAGAACTGATCAAGTCTTTCAGTAAAGTGGCAGGTTACAAAATATCAGTAGCCTTTCTGTATACCAACAACAAACAATTGGAGAAAGAGTACAGGGAAATCCTCCCATTCACAATAACTTAAAAAAAATAAGACGCCTCAAACCTGACCAAAGACATCAAAGATCTCTACAATAAAAATTTTAAATCTTTAAAAAAAAATGGAGATTGAGGAAGACACCAGAAGATGGAAAGACTTCCCATGCTCATGGATTAGAAGAATTAATATTGTGAAAATTACCATCCTACTAAAAGCAATATGTAGATTCAATGCAATCCCAATCAAAATCCTCATGACATACTTCACAGAATTAGATAAAAACCATCCTTAAATTCATATGAAAGCACAAAAGACCCTGGACAGCCAAAGCAACCCTGACCACAAAGAGCAACACTGGGGATACCAGATCTCAAACTATATTACAGAGCCATAGTCATAAAAACAGCATGGTACTGGCACAAAAATAGATGCATAGATCAATGGAACATAATTGAAGACCCAAACCCTTGAGTACATGCACTTTCAGTCACCTGATATTTAACAAAGGTGCCAAGAACATGTAAGGAGGAAAGACAGCATCTTCAACAAATGGTGCTGGCAAAATTGGATCTCCACCTGTAGAAAAATGAAACTAGATCCTTATCTTTCACCTTGCACAAAGGTCAACTCTAAATGGATCAAAGACCTCAATGTGAAACTCAAAACTCTGAAACTGTTAGAAGAAAACATCGGCAGTAACCTACAAGATACAGGTGTAGGAAAGGCTTTTCTAAATTGGACACCAGTTGCTCAGGAAGGCCTCATTAAACTAAAAATCTGTACAGCAAAAGAAATCAAGAAAGTGAAGAGAAAACCCACAGAATGGGAAAAAATCTTCACCAGTGACACATCTGACAGAGGTTTAACATCCAGAATATATAAAGAATGCAAAAAACAATCAAAAACAAATCATCCAATTAAAAGATGGGCTAAGGATCTACACAGAGAGTTCTCAAAAGATGAAATAAAGATGGCTAAGAAACATCTTAAAAAGTGTTCAACATCATTAGTAATTAGGGAAATGCAAATTAAAACCACCCTAAGATTTCATCTTACCTGAGTCAGACTGGCTAAGATCAGGAGAACAACTGATTCCAAATGCTGGCAAGGATGTGGAGAAAGGGGAATGTTCATTCACTGCTGGTGGGATTGCAAATTTGTGCAATCCCTGTGGAAAGCACTGTGGAGAACTCTCAAAAAACTAAAAATGAACCTACCATATGACCCGGTTATACCACTCCTTGGCATATACTGAGGCCTCATCCTATTGCAGAGATGCTTGTTCAACCTTGTTTGTTGTTGGTCTTTTCACAGTAGCTAAGAGATGGAAGCAACCTAAGTGTCCTCAACTGATGAGTTGTTAATGAAATCATGATACATTTACACAATGGAATTCTACTCAGCAGTAAAGAAAGAGATGAAATAATGAAATTTGCAGGCAAATGGATGGATCTAGAAACTGTTATACTAAGTGAAGTAACACAGACTCAGAAAAACAAAAGATGTATGTTCTCTCTCATTTGTGGATCTAGCATCAAATCCTTATAAGTGAGTATGTATCCTGATGTAACTGCAGGAACCCAGAAAATGGAAGGGAACCAGGGAGGTAAAGGGAAAGAAGAAACCCAAGAGAGATAAATAGTAGAAAATAGTAGGTGTTACTAAGGGAGAAATGTGTAAAAAGGGAGTAGTTAAAGGGAAGAGGAAGAGGCTATACAAAGAACTATGGGAATAAAGGGGAAGAAGGAGCTCAAGAGAGGTGGGACCATAGCATACCAAAATTATCAAGGGAGAAATGGGGAAAATGGGGACACTTTAAATGGGGAGGGTGGGGAGGGAGGATAAGACAGAGAGAAAGAGAAGAGATAAATAGTGCCTAGGTAGTATAAAAAAAAACCAGAGGGAATCATATTAGTCCAAAAACCTACTGAAAAATTATACATAAAATACCCTTATATAAGTCCATGAGCATAGCTGAAAACTATATAACAAGAAACAGTGCCAAGCAGGAGGAACCTTCCTTTGAGTTGTTGGCCAGGGTAGTCCAAGAGACTTGCAAAATTACATAGGCTATTGCCACAGCCCTTGATTGCTGCCCAGAACTTGAAGGTAAGACCCCATTGCTGAAGATAGACCATTCTTCAGACACAGGATTTTGAACTGACCTGGAAGCCACCTCCTCTGAAGGCCAGCTCTCAAGACTTTGGAAAGCACTATGCAAGCTGGTATAAGGGCGAACCATCAATCAATGATCCAACCCTATCTTCAAGGCCTAAAAACCACATCAATTACCGGCATAGCAAACGACATTGGTATAATAGTGTCACTTTTATCTTGGGGGTAATCAACAGCTACCTAATTGGACTTAAAGCCCACTCAATGGAAGGAAACTCATATTTGGTACTGTAAACCTATCCAAATACACATAGCTGGAGAGGTCATAGATCTTAGAGAAAACCCCAAGGCTCTCATATTTCTAGACAAATGTAATTTCTTACTATGTGCAAAATATGGATCCTTTAATTTACAGACAAGTATCCCAGTCACCACCCAACAAAATAGCTACTTTTTCAATAGATAGAGATTATTACAGTTACACCACTGGTCACACACAGAGATTCTCTGTGAATTGCCCAAGCCTAAGTGGCACATCTAGGATGCAACCTCCACACCTAAGACTCACGGAACATAGAACAAGGGATGAAGAAAACATTAATGCATTTTTCCATTCTCATCAATGAAGCTCCCTCATGCAACAGAGGGCCAAGAATGCAAAAGGTCACAAAAGGCCAAAAAGCAGAGAATAAGAGTCACGGAATGTGGGTCCTTGGGCAAGTCTCCTATATTGAGGTCCACCCACCCAAGATTCAGGGACTACTGTGGAAGAGGAGGCAAAAAGATTGTAAGAGCCAGGGAGGAGGTGCATGACCATATGGAAATAGTCCTACAGGTGCCTGGGACCCTTCTCATACAAACCTACAGCAATGGTGTCAGCATGCACAAGACTCATGCAAACTTAGGCAGACAAAAACCCAGCGCAGAACTGTGGAAATGAACAGCAGACCCCAATCTTAGTTGAAGAATTATTGCAGCTGACTACTGCTGGGTGAGGAAGAGCTGATCTTGAAGAGGGAGGCTCTGGATAGGCTGACTAAACCCTGGTCGGTGAATGTGCACTGAGGGACATCTGGGGACACTAACTTTACATAATAAACTAATAAAAATGACAGAATGCAGGAACTCCAGTGGGGGGGCGCTATACGAGGGGGAAGGGGTATAAAAATGATTTTATGCACAAAATACACAAAAATAAAATTAAAATAAATAAAATAAAAAACAAAAATAAGAAAGTGAACTGAAAAATGTCATCTAAACTGAAAAAACAATAAAGTATTAAAAAAATTATAATAAGGATGAATTTATAACATTTCAGTGTAACTATTTGGTGAAATCTGTGGAATATTTACCTGGAGCTTATTTCATTAACAATCTATTCCCTTGGTACAGTCCCCACAGGCCACACAATGCCAGCATGAGAAATGTGTACACATTCTACTGGAAAATGGTGCTGACACGAATGCCACATATGCTGATCAAAACACTGCCCTGCACTACGCAGTTCACAACAACACATCGATAGCTGCTGAACTTCTAGGACACAATGCAGACACCAAGGTTAAAGCAAAGGCAGATCAGCCAACTTTATTCCCTGAATACTTGAAACACATTTATTCCAACAGTGACTAGTATGGGTCAGTTTCCCACATGTAGAAGCTAAATCAAGCATTTCTTTATTTTAAGTGGCTTGGAAAACTGTTTTTGCAACCAATGATTATTTGAAGAGAGTTTGGGTTTGGCATTTGGGCTGTTGGGGGGTGGGGTGGGGTGAAGGGTCGGGGAGGGTGCAGCCTTTCTAAAGAGGAAGCTCATGAGAAGTGTGGCTCCTAGAGATGGAAAAGAGCCCGCTGTTGGTCTGTATGTCTACATTAATAGGGTTTTTATAAGATTTCCAGTTGACTTGAGGAATACATCATTTTGTGATTTGTAAATACATCATTTCCATGTTTCCGAGGGTGGCTACACACCACTTATACTTGCTGTACTAGAAAACAAACAGGAGATAGCAGAACTTTTACTAAAGAAGGAAGTGGATATTAATGCCCTGTATCATTGTAATAGGTATTGTAGTGGGGCACCTTAAGACTGACCATAGCTATGCCATGTTATAAGCAGGTCCCAGTTAAACCTAGTAGTTAAAGCAGTTAGTTCAAATGTGGAAGTGGAAAAGTTTGACCCAGCTGCACCAAGATGTGGGGTTTGAGAACAGGTTGGCATGCACCTGGTTGTTCCTGCTAACAACAGATTTATGGCTTTTGTATTTTCTGCTTGGCTTACTCTTGCAGAATAGAAATTGTTGGGGGGGGTTTCCACTCCTAAGTTTAGGAACTTAAACTTATCACTCTGGATGTGTGTTTTGTTTTGTTTCTGTATAAAAGCTTACCCTAAAAATGACTTAGGGCTGCACTTGGGAGCTGAATACCCAGTGTAGTTTCTGGCCAGCTATAAAAGACTTTCTTTTGGCAATTTTCTGTGTCTGAGTGGTCTTCTCTGGTGAGGCAAACCTCATAACAATGTAATTTTTTATTCTTTTAAAATCCTCATGCCATTCTAGAGTGGGAACTATCACTTACATCATAAACACAAAATTCATAAGAAGTTTAACTTATGCTTGTAGAAATATGTGAAACATGTTGAAAGAAGCAGGTGGAAATTAATAGTTCAATTTAGTACCACAAAAAGTAGCAGCTATCAGGGCTCATGTCTCCTTCTAACATTGACTGTACTTTGTTATTTGTAATCCATTTTATTGGTCATGTGAGTTTTGTATTAGCCTTATTTTTAAAAGTATGAACTGTTGGTTTAAGATTCAAATGAAATTCTTAACCATTTTATAGTATTTTATGCCTCTGCTTCTTGTATACTTTTCCTTTAAGATGCTATATTAATAGTAAAAATATACAATATTAACAGAAATACTGTTTTTTTGGAGACAGGATCTCTCTGTAGCCCCATCTGGGGTAGAACTCTCTATGTAGAGCTGGTTGGCCTCACAGAGATCTGCCTGCCTCTGCCTCCCAATTGCTGGGATTAAAGTTGTGCACCACCACACCCAGCCCAGAAATAGTTTTGAAAATCATTTTGCAACTTTGATGACTATTTGCTTTAAATTGCTTTCTTTGGTGGGGGGACTGGAGAGATGACTTAGCAGTTAAGAGAACCGGCTTTTCTTGCAGATTACCTGTACCCACATGGCATCTAACAACCATCTGTAACTCTAGTTCCAGAGGAATTGGATGTCCTCCTCTGACTTTTGAGGGCATTGCACAACATGGGTGAATTTACATACATGCAGGCAATACACTCATACGTGTAACATAAATAAATAAGTTGCTTTCTTTGAAGCATATTGATCTCAGACTATCTCTAAATGACTATTGTTATCATTAGATGTGGTTCAGTTTCCTCCCGTCCTTCTACAGTTTATTTTGGTATGTTGCTCAGCTATTCACTATTATGATAAACTACATGAAAGAAAGAATTTAAAGGATGAAAGATTTATTTTGGCTCATGGCCTGACAGGGTTTAGTCCATGGTGGACTGGATTGTTTCCTTTGAACCTGAAGCAAAGTAGAATGTAACTGGAAGTGGAAGCATGTGGTGGAGGGATGCTCATCTCAGAGAAGGCAGGAAGCAGAAAGACAGAAAAAGTTCCCATGGCTAGGCACACCCTCCAGAGGAACACTAGTGACCTAAGCCCTCCAAATAGGACCCACATCCTAACAGACAAGTAATCTACAATCTCACAAATGAATTAATACACACTAAGTTAGCATTCACATAATCAATCACCTCAATAGTACCACCAGCTGGGACCAGAGTCTTTTGGGGTAACCTCCTACTAAAAACTATTATGATGTCTATACATTTAATTGGCATGAGCAGTGGAAATAATATAACATTAATTGGATAAACTTCCTTTAATGAAAATAAGTTATAGGTAAATGATAAAGACAAGGCTAGCTTCACATAAGACTGGGTTTATTTGTGCCTTTCTGACCTACAAAGCATATGATCATAGGAACATTATTCATCACCAAGTGTATTTCCTGATAGGAAAATAAGAATAATATTTTTGAAGAGTGGTTTTAAGATTACACATATGCATTTATATTGGTACCTAGCACATGGTAGTCAATCTCATTAACTAAAACTATTCTGTTACTATTATCTTTAGTATTAATATTTTTATGTTAATAACTTTAAAAATAATCCAAATAGTTGTCCATTATTTGGCCTATTGCTGACTATGAATTATAGTATATTACTTCAGACTAAAGAAGTAATGGAGAATTCTTCATTTAAATCTTACCAACTTCAAGTAAATGACCTAATCATAGTGACTGTCAATTAAATCATATGAACATGGAAATTCTACTAACTGGTTCAAGATGTTTCTTTTAGTTCAAGATGTTTTCCTTTTGTGTTGGAGGTAATTGACAAAGATGGGTACATATTTATCCTCTAAACACTCATGTCTGTTCTTATGTATTAATGTCAATTTTCACACACACAGACAAGATATTAACTTGGTAAAATATATCTGAATAGTTTGTTTATATGACTTCATTAAAGTATGTCAGAGTAACATTGTTTCTGCTATTTTTAGATCAGCCCTCATACGTGCTGTAAGAGCTCAGTCCAAGAATATGATCAGTCTTCTTCTTCAGCAAGGTGCTAATGACTCTTTGGTAGATGTCTTTGGAGCTACTGCACAAAGTTATTCTGTTTTTGAAAGTTTTAAAGTATAAGTACTTGTATTAAAATGCTAGTTAACTTTAAATGAATGCTTTTGATAATTACAACCATTTCATACTTACTCATATGGTGAAATTTCATAGTATAGTTCAGGAAGTTTTGGAATGGCTGTGAGTTAGTCAACTTCATCCACCAGAAACCAAGCAAAAGGCTAGACTAGACAGAAGTAGCAATAAGTGCAGAGTTCTTTATCTGAGGATATTTACTTAGGCTGGGCTGAGGATGGGGCCCTGGCTTCACATATGCTAGGTGGTATTCTACCTCTAAGATGTTTTCCTGGTCCCTGTCTCAGGAATGTGAAGACCTCTGCCTTTAGGGGTCATGGCATTATCCATCTCATTCCAACTATAAGACACAAACATGGGTATAAATAATGTTGTGTCTTTAATTTTTGTAATCATCTCTTTGGGTCTTTTAAAAAGTTTATTTATTATTTTTATATTTCATGTATATGAGTGTATTGCCTGCATGTATATAAATCCACCCATGTTGTATAATGCCTGTAGAAGCCAAAAGAGGGTGTTGAATGCTCTGGAACTGGAGTTATGGATGGTTGTTAGCCACCATTTAAGTGCTGGAAACCGAACCTGGGTCCTCTGCTGGAGCAGCTAGTGCTCTTAACCACTGAGCCATCTCTCTAGCCCCTACTTGGGTCTTTTAATGTCAAATTTTAAATGGTTATTCTCTTCCGTGGCTTATCTCCTTCAACATCATTCTTGAATTTCCTATGAGCTTAAGGGCTCTCTCTCTCTCTCTCTCTCTCTCTCTCTCTCTCTCTCTCTCTCTCTCTCTTTCTCTGAGACAGGGTCTCCCTGTAGCCCCAGCTGGCCTGGAACTCACTATGTAGACCGGGTTGGCCTTGATCTCACAGAGAGCCACCTGCTTCTGCCTCCCAAATTCTGGGATTAAAGGCATGCACCACTGTATCAGTTTGTTTCTTCATTGCTGTGACAAAACACTCTGACCACTACCAACTTGGGGAGGAAAGGGTTTATTTATCTTACATCTCCTGGGTCACAGTTCATCAGTGAGACCAAGGTAGGAACTCAGGGCAGGAACCTGGAGGCAGGAACTGGAGCACAGGCCATGGAGGAACGCTGCTTATTGGCTTGCTCCCCTGGCCCCTGCTCAGCCTGCTCCTTATGCAAGACAGGCCCACCTGCCTAGGGGTGGCACCACCCACAATGGGCTGGGCCCTCCCACATCACTCAACAATCAAGAAGGCCCCACAGACATGACCACAGGCCAGTCCAATGAAGGCAATTCCCCAACTGAGGCTTCCTCAACCCAAGTTAACACTAAAGCTATCCAGCATAATCACCATGCCTGGTTCAAGGGGTATCTTTAGTCCAAGAAAAACAGCATTCTTTCATAGGTCAGATGGAGGGTAAAAAGTGGACAGAAGAGCAAGACTCCATGACCCCCTTCAATCTTATATCTTTCATGCTTGCAAAACCAGTACTATGTGGATGCTACTACCAAGCTCTACTACCAAGCTCTGGTGTCTGGGGATAGAGCCTGACACACATCCACACACACCCCTCCCCACAATGGCATCAGCATCTATGAGATGACCCTGGAGAAATACTTTCCTAGGCAGTTGCTTTTGCGGAACAAGGAACCCCTTCAGCAGCTTAGGCTTTCTTTCCTTAAATGAATTTGGATTTTCACAAGATGGTGCCTCTGAAGGTGGGACTTTTGCCCACAGGACATCTTTCCTGTTGTCTCAGTGCAGCACAGGAAGCCTCTCCTCAGTGACACTAATTTCTTTAACAATTACAATTGCTTTCTCATCATTAGCCTGAATGCTCTCCTAGCCTGAAATTTTCTCTGCCAAACAAATTAGTCCATTATTTTTAAATTCAACTCCACTTCAGTCTCTTGGGACACAGGCAGAATGAAGGCAGATTCTTGGCCAAAATAGGACACAAATGGCCCCTAGTCTATTTCCTGATAGAGACCTGATGGGTTCCTATTCCCATTTGAAATCCCATGATCCTGGTCTCCATGGTATGCTTTTGTCTCAGCATCACTGTCTTCCAAGCTCCCACTAGAATTACTCATAAAGCTCTGCTTCTAGCACTCTAGGGCTTTTCTAGCCCAAAGTACTAAAGTAGTTCACATTCCAGCCACAAAACAGATGCCAATGCCAAAGAACCACATGGTCAGGTTTATCACAGCCATGAATCCACTTTTCAGTACCAATCTATGTCCTAGTTTCTTTTCTTATTGCTGTGATAAAGTACTCTGGCAAAAGCAACTTAAGGAAGAAACAGTTTATTTTTGTTGATAGTTCCAGGGTATCTGTCTTCTATGGTGGGGAAGTCAACATGGCAAGAGCAGCTGGTCATATCACATCCACAGTCAGGAAACAGAGAGGAATGAATAAATGCATGCCAATGCTCAGCTCACTGCCTCCATTTTATACTCCAGAATCCCCTGCCCAGGGAATGGTTCCACCCACAGTTAAGATGGATCTTCCCATGTCAGTTAACATAATCAACATCCCCTCCACAGGCATGCTAGAAATCCAAATCCAGGTGATTCTAGGCCTTGTCATGTTGGAAATTAACACTAACCATCACAGGCTCCTTTTATCATTTCTGTGTTACGCATTTTCTTGGGTTTTAGAAAATTCCAGATCACTTTTTTTTCTACGTAGATGCCGCCTTACAATTGTCACCTCAGGTGATCTGTTTCCCATAGTAATGAAAAACTCAAAACTATTTGTATTTATGCCTCATATTTTCAAATTGAACCTCAAAAACAAAACCACTGGGCAACATTCTGTGATTCTAAGTAACTTATTTGGATTTCAAAGGGCCAAAGCCCATTGCAACTTATCTGTATGTCTGTCTGTTCCTCTGAGGTAAATCTGTAGATGAAGCACCATTTTGTCAATGATCTGTTGGCAGGATTTTATCGATTTACATTTAAGTAATTAGAGAATACAGAGAAAATAAATGACTGTATTTTGAGGATTATCTGGGCTAGACACCATATGATGCGCATGTGGCACTTCTTGTTTTGTGGTGCAGTCACCGTAGCCGATTTCAAGGAAGTTGGGCTATTATAACCTATTTATTTTTTCCCAGTGTGGCAACCCTAACTTGAAGCGTAGATTAATTGGTCCATGATCCTGTGGTTAACAATTACTTGCCCATACAAGCCTGCCTGACCTCCTATGCTTGATCTTCTGTTTATATAGATAGGGTCAAAGTATAGGTCTCTATTACATGAATTCACAAAGTCAAATTCAGTGATTGTTAGCTCTAATATAGAGTTTTCCTGAGAAGTCCAATTATATTCCAATCGTTTATCCAAATATTTGAAAACTGCATTGTAACCAATGTTTTGTTTTGACCATCAAAGGTTTTATGGCAGATATTACTGACCTGTGGCCATAGATCCATAAATTTCATATATAAGTGGAATCAGGCAACTCCTGGGAAGTTATTGTTTTTCTGGAACTGAAGAATACCTACATGTAGAGCATGTTCTATAAATCACATTTAGTATCTATTCACAATGTAACCTAAATAGATTTTTCTTCTTACACTTTCCCAGTTCGATTTCCCCTGTAACCTACTACACTGCCTTGTTCCATGACGTTTTCTTTTGCCTAGTCCTTCTTTTCTTTTTCCATGAACATACTCTTTTCCTGAACTATTCCTTTTTTCAGGTTTTCATGATCTCCTTTTGTATTTTTTTCATTTCTTCCAGTTAAGTATTTCTTTGTTTTTGTAGACAAAATCAAAAGCCTATAAAATTTCAGAACTTTAGGGAATCATGGAAACTAATCAAAATACCCCCTGGTACTTTAGTTTACATTTAACATCCTTCCCAAATGGTAGTTCTATTATATAACTCAAAACCCAAAGATGCTAAAGTAACTTATCTGAATATAATAAGTTGCGGAAAGGAGACTTGAATTCATGTTCCTTGGTCCTAAGACTAATAATCCTCCTCATAATTCTCTAGGCGAGCCTTTTAATAATAAAACAAGTCAGTATCACGAAACCCATAGATGAAGATGAAATTATCCTATGGACCCCACAGTAGATAGTGGGATGGACTTAACAGAAGAAGGGGAAGTCTGCAGAGGAACAATATTGTCTTGGCTGGTACTAAAGGTTATAGAAAAGACAAAAATATTGAGCTTTTTAACAAGTATGATAAAGACAATAAAGAAATTTGGGACAGAAAATGTTGAAGTCATCTAGAAAGGCATATTAAAATCAAGAATTTAGCTGATTTCTGAGCAAATTGGTTTTTTTTGTTTTTAATTGGAGAAATTGACTGATATCAAGTTTTCTGTTAAAGATGTTAAAATAATTTGATCTATCTCTGTTATAGACAACATTATGCTATATTCTATCTCAATTTGCAGAGATGTCTTAGGGCCTCCTGAGTGATAAAGGACTAGAAATTGAACTGATGGCTCAGAGCAGGCATCATCTTAGCTCTGTTTACCTAGGTCACTGCTTTTCTTTCTATGTTTATATGAATGGAAATGTTGGGATTGGCTGGCAGCACAGTTATGGATGTTAAACAGGGTAGTTGGTAACTATGCTGAGGTCAGGTGACTGAGATTTCATTTAGCTTATTTTTCAGGAGCTGGGAAATAAAGCTGCCACCTTTTGTTCTCTTGAGTGTTTGCTTGCTTCCTTCCTTCCTTCCTTCCTCCCTTCCTCCTTTCCTCCCTCCCTCTCTCCCTCCCTCCCTCCCTCCCTCCCTCCTTCCTTCCTTCCTTCCTTCCTTCCTTCCAGAATCTGTTCCTTCATAGGCTTAAGATTTTAATGCTGAAAAATGATAAGTCCTGCAGGAAAGGGCTTAACATATGAGTGAAAACCCAGAGGAAGACAGACATTCGTATGTGCATAGGGAAAGAGAGGTAAAGCTACCAAAACTCTGATTTTCAGCACTTTCTCCTTTGAGTGTCTAAGTGCCTGAGAATTTGTTTTTAATTTTTGAGACTTTCATATATGAGTACACTGTATTTGTCATTTTTTCCCTTCCCTCTCTCCTCAAACTCCTCTAGTGTCTACCTCCACCCCATCTCAAATTTATGAATTCTTTCTCTATAATTATTATTGTTACATATATGTATTTATATACACACATGTATATGTATATACATACACCCACATCCATACAACCTACTGAGTCCAATTGATGGTACTCATATGTACATGTGTTTAGGGATGACCATGTGGGATTGGGAAACCCATCAGAGAACTTGTCCTTGGAGAAAAATGTTGTTCTCTCCCTCCCTCAGGAACCATTGACTGCTTATAGTTCTTCCTGTAAAGGTGGGGCCTCATGAAATTTTCTCCCACTCACATTGGCATGTCAGCTGGTGTGGTCTTGTGCAGGCAACTATACTGTTGAGAGTTCATGGGCTCAGCATTCCTGGCATGTCTGGAAGACGCTCTCTCGTAGCAGATGTCCTGGTCCTCTGGCTCTTACAGTCTTTCTTCCCTGTTCCCTGAGCCTTAGGTGTCTTCAGCCAGGAACAGTCAATGGAGAGGGACAATATATCTTTCTGCTTTGTTTGGTATTTGTGTCAATTCAGGTAGCAAAAGATACTTGAACCAGTAATTGGATTTTCAGTTCATCCTTAAAGAGAGGAAATTTGTGCACACAAATTATTCTTGGACCTTGATGGTGTATTGGCTGTCATTTGATATGGAATCATGAGTGAATGTTCATTGACTATTTCATAGGAAGCAGAAAGAGGTAAAAAGAAGCTTGTCAATATACAAAAATGTAAACCAAGAAGTGCCATTTATGGGCTGGAGAGTTTGGTTCCCAGCACCCACATCAGGTGGCTCACAACTGCATATAACCCCAGCTCCAGGGGCTCCAACGCCCTCTTCTGACCTCTGCAGGCACCAGCACTCACATGCACATACCCACACACATACACATAATTAAAAAATAAGAAGAAATCTTTTAAAAAAGAGAGAAATGCCATTTAATATGTAGATAGCATATATTTCTTGGGATTTATAAAAAGTCTCACCTCTTACTGTGCATTTTTTTCACTCTGCAGGCTTTCCAACAGTCCTGGTCCCAGGTGTCCTGAGCCCACAATAAAAGGTGATGCATATGATTTTGATACCAAGGTACAGAGCACATTTGTGATGGTAATCTTTTGTTTTGAAATTGGATTTTTGTTGTACTATTTACTAGCAAAGTTGAAGTTTATGGGGAGGCAGTTAGGGAAAGGACAATATACTAAAGACATAGGTGTGGCTTCTGAATAAAGAGCGATGCTTATTTGTCTATAAACAGCTCCACATACAATCTTGGTTATTTCTGAAGTTACACTGTTCAAAGAGTTGGTAAAGAACATTTTCACCATTTTTGTAAATGAGATCTTTTTCAGATTTGTTTATTTTTATGTGTTTGAGTGTTTTGCCTGCATGTATGTAAATACACCTGTTTGTGCAGTGCCCCCACAGAGGCTAGAAGAGGACGTCTGATCCCCTGGATTTGGAGTTAGGGATGGTTGTTATCCACAATGTGGGTGCTGGGAATCAAACCTGAGACCTCTGCAGAGCAGCCAATACTCTTAACAGCTGAGCCATCTCCCCAGCCCATAAATGAGATCTTACATTTGTGTACATTGGATAGGATTACAGGCTGATAAGGAAACAATACCATAAGTCACAAGGATCAAATGAATCCTTACAATACTGGGTCAAAAGGGAGTTAAGAAATATGTTTTGACTATAAACAAAATTAATAGAGTTGTTTGTGAGATTCTTAGAGAGTTAGGCATTAACAGCTGAGAGTAAAGTGAGGCTAATCTTAAAGGCCCTGCATGCTTAGGTCTTAAGCTTGGACCATTGCTATTTTCATATTAGTATTTGAGATATCTGTACAAAAATATTTCCCCTTTATAGGCATGCTTCACATTAATTTACTTGTGTTGAGATTCTTGATTTAACTCACAAAGTGCTTCACCCCTGTCTTTGTATCCTGCCTCAATTTCCCTTTTGGGGGCTTTTGTCCTTTAATGTTAAGAATTAAGTACTGCTGAAGACCTGTTTTCTGTGGCTAACATATTATTAAAAGATAAACCTTTAGATTTTCCCTAAGAAGAAACTCATGTAAATATAAATCATGCAAACACATTAAATATGTAAAAGCAGATCATTTAAATTTGCCATTTCCTGTGTCCCACTGGGAGCATGAGTGCCAGGTATTGGCATCAGGGGTCCTGACACTTTAAATACAATGGAATTCAATGACAATCTTCTGTACTCTGAAGGAAATATTGATGTCATTGGAAAGCTCTTCACAGTGTGTCCTTGAGACTCTACTCCCTTAACTGTAAATATTTGTCACAACACTCTGTTGAGGGCAGAAGAGGCAGTGGCAGCAGATGTAAGGAGCTTGGAAATGTGATTGGGGATGATATAGGTTGTTTGGACCTGGAGGTCCGCTGTGGTTTCTAAAAAGCCTTTGACTGGAGGATCCTTGGAGCAGCTATTGGCAGGCTCCCCTAACTGATGACGTGTTGAAGTACATGGGCCCAGGGCGGCCGGGCATCTGATTTAGAGGGGCCACTCCAGAGCCCAGGCCACCACTACCATGGGCCTCTGTATCACCAAGTACAAGAATCCTTCATCAACCCTGGGCAGCAAGATTGGAATCCAGGACTGTGAGGGGTTGACACCGTGAGGAACAGGTGTAGCAAGCCATGTGGGGATAGCCTCATCTTACACAGATGCAGGCAAAACACTTGTACACATAAACTAAGATAAAAATAAATATGTCTTTAAAAAGAGGTTTTAAATACAGTTGAGAAATATGTAAGCTATTGTTATTAGGGTTTTTTCACTTTTTTGGTCTTTTTTTAAAAAATAAATAATTTATTGAGAATTTCATACATGCACATAAGGTGTTTTGATCAAATCCATGCCCACTCCCTCCCCTCCAACTCCTCCCACATCGCCCCATCACTTTTTTTCTGATAACTTCATGTTTTCCACTTTTTTTTTTTTAACAGAATGCCTGCACACCACGTTCATGTCCCATCAAGGAAAGCAAGCAGCAGATAGCGGAATTGCCAGCAAAGGAGAAGGCAAAGGCACATGCTGAGGAGACGCTGGGGAGGTGCAAATGGCTGTACGTTTGTTTAAAAAAGCCTAGTGTTATTGTAGGGTGATCGAAGTACCTCAGTAATACTACAGTGATAAGAAGAAATTTATTTACAATTATTAATGTAAAGTGAAAACCACCAGAACAAAGCATAAGTTAATTAGAACAGTGATTATTCAGAGTGGGAAAGACAAACAACCACATAGGGCTCTTTGTCTTCCCTTTAAAAACCGCCTGATATTTGTTACTTGCAGTCTGACTCTCTGGGTCATATGAGCTTATATCCAGCTAAAAGGATCTCATACGAGTTACATTCGAGTCTAAAGAACAGACTTGAGCTTACTTTTAGATTTGACACTGAACTTAAGCTTATATTCATGTTTTCTTTCAGTGTCTCATGTACATTTTCCTACATTTTAGATGACTATGCTTAAGGATTCATTTTTTTTTTTCCTTTTGGTCTTTTTGAGACAGGGTCTCTCTGTAGTCCCAGCTGTCCTAGAACTTGATATGTAGACCAGGCTGACCTTGAACTCACAGAGATCCACCTACCTCTGCCTCCCAAGTGCTGGGACTATAGGCATGTGCCACTATGCCTGGCTAGGATTGCTTTCTTTCTTTTTTAAAGAAAGACTATTGTGGGGCTGGAGGGATGGCTCAGCAGATAAGAACACTGACTTGTTCTTACAGAAGACCCATGTTTGAATCCCAGCACCCACATGGCAGCTAACAACTGTCCCTAACTCCAATTCCAGGGGATCTAACAGTCTCTTCTGTCCTGTACAGGCATTGCACGACACAGGTGCACTTACCTACATGCAGGCAATTACACACATACACATAAAATAAAAAAAATAAAAATAAAAAAGAATATTGTACTATATGACAATTATGCTAACATAATGAGAATATAGTCATAAATAATCTGAGTTGCAGGTTATTACGTCTCATTTATTTTGAATTACATATCACAAAAACAAAACAGGCAATAACCAAATTTAAGACATTATTTCTAATTGCAGTATTTCAATATTAGAACCTATGACAAAACATATATTCTTTTTGGAATTCTAAAGTAGTTTCAGTATTAAAGAACAAATTATGACATTGTTATTCATGGTTTTTGCATCTCCTCAAATCTTCAAAATACCACAATAGAGAAATGCAATAAAATCCTTATCTGCTAGAATTTAAGCATAAGAGAAAAATCTTGTTCAAGAGCAAATAACTTGTTTACAGAGGTAGAAAAACAAAGTCTCTGGTACTTTCTCTTGTGTCAAGCTAATCCAGTTATTACTGTGAGCTGTGTCACCTTCGATTCATGGCCATTTCATCCACATTTTCTTCTTTAATTACGAAGTTAGTAAGAAACTTTTGGAGCTTGCACATTTGAAGTGTAGGGTATTCACTACACTTCACTATTTTAATTCACTATTATAATTTATTCAATGTCCTTTAAGAGTGTAATGTCTTGTTAAATATTTTTCATATCACTACTAAAATATTAATTTTATTTATCATTTTTTATCACATACGAAAAAAGCCATGTTTTAGAACACAGAGAGAAGGAACCCGAAATTTGTGAAGATAGCAACACAGGTAAGTCCTCATTACTGGATAAGCCTAGATCCTCCTATCCTTCACAAAATAAAGTAGTAAGAAAGATTGATCACAGAAGTTTATGAAATCAATGTGCAAATTGAGTGTGTGTGTGTGTGTGTGTGTGTGTGTGTGTGTGTAGCACTTTATGGTTGATCTGCATCCTTGGCCTGCCTTCTATGAGTAGATTTTCTGTCCTGGGAAAAACGCCCAACTGAATCTAACCATTTATTTTTCTTTTTTTAAGTAAAATGAAGAATATTTTGCTCTCTGATTATAGAGTACTTATATGTCTTAGTTTCATTTCCTGTTGCTATGCTAAAAAATACTCAGAAAAAAGTTACTTGGGAGGGAAAGGGTTTATTTCAGTTCACAGTTCCATGCTTGGTTATAGGGTACAGTCCATCCTTGCAGAAGGGTCACAGCAGCAGGAACTTGAAAGAACTGGTCACATGAAGTCTGCAGTCAAAAGAAGAGAGCAGTAGATGCACATCTGCCTGTGATTGGCTCCCTTTCTCCACTGTTCAAGATCTGTTGCATAGGGAATGGTGCCACCCACAGTGGGCTGGTCTTCCCACCTCAGTTAACAAAATGAAGATAATCTCCACAGATCTGCCCACAGGCCAGCCTACTCTAGACTACCCCTCACAGAGACTCCCTTCCCAGGTAATCTAGATTGTGTCAAGTTGACAATTAAACCTAACAATCAGACTATTGGCACATTCTGAAAGTTTAATTGAGACAATAGTTTTATTTCTACAAACTTCCTCTCAGATGTCAACTTTCTTCTACCTCTACAGTGCCTTTTTAGGTTTTTCTCTATTAGTTATAGTTAAGAACAGATAAATTACAAAGGAATATTCTTCCCATGGGAGTTGGAATGGAAGATGACAGTGTGCCTTGTGTGCAACACCCCTATGATGTGGAAGACAGCTTCCCCCAGACCAGCTTTAGAGAGAGCAAGCACGTTGACATCTCCCAGGATGGAGAACACTCTGGAAAGATCACATGGTTCTCATATTTGGCATACTGCACAGTGCCCAAAGAATGACTTTCTTTATGGCATCATTTCTCATAGGACAGTTTTGAATGAAAATCTAGAGAAGTTGAATTTTGTCATAATGTAACTACAGTCTCTTAAAATTGTTGCTAGTGTTAGGGTTCAAGAATCAAGAATAATTCCCACAGATACCCAAAAAGATTATTCAAGAATTTAAAGTAAAAAAGGACAACGACCAAATGGTGGCTAGCCGGGCACAGAATTCACGAGCCAAAGATGGCGTCTGGCCCCAAACAATAGCAGCCAGGAGCTTTTATTGGGGCACTCCACAGAAACCCGTGCACACCAAGCATCTTTTAAAAATAATTGGCTGTCCCCATATCCTGGGTAAGGAGGAAATCTTGATTGGTAGGGTCTGTCTTCAGGGAATTGGAATGTGTCATGGTTCAGTGACCACAATTCAAGCCTGATGGGCTTGGGGATCCCGAGGTATAGGTGCAGGAGAAATCAGGATGCAGGGGATGCAGTAGAGTGTGAACCGATGCATACTTTATTCTAAGAAGCAATCTTATTTATAGTACAACGAGAGGAAGAGAAAATGTTCTTCTCAAGCCAAATTATCTCATCATGATGTTTACAGTACCTTCATGATATTTACAGTACTTTCGTGTTCCCAGGGCTCAGCCCTTTTGGGAATCGTATCTGTCCTTCTGTGCTTATTAAACATTCTGTTCTTTACTTATAACTTTATTAGCTACACAGCTTTGTTATACAAGCTTACTTATGTACGTTTAATAGGGTTCAAGGAACAGTCAGTCTCAGGAATAACTGCAAAAGAAGACCATTTAAGTTCCCAGGGAACTGAGGCCTCCCGCTCCAGTTCTGAGTTGACTTCAGATCAGAGCTCAGACCTTCACAGGAATATGCTAACGAATATCTTTTAGAGCCAGAAGTTTTTGTTCATAACTTATAAGGTTTTTACATGTACAATATGCCTGAGCTTGTCTGGGCTTGTCTAAAGAAGCTAGCCAAAATGGAGTCAGAGCATTCTGGCTCTTCATTCCCCCCTAGAGTTATGGCAAGGGTTAAATCTTTAAGCCAAGCAAATTACAGAAGTGAAAAGAGGCAGTGAAACGGTGCATTTAGGGTGGTGGAACCATTTCTATATTGTAAGGCTCGGGGTCTCGATTTAAATGAGTATACTGCGAATGCAGTACCATCAGTTGGACTATCTGTATCCATTCTCAGATGAATTTGAGCAAGGCATTAAGAATATAGGGGCCACAGGTGACTGCTAATAGGAGTAAGAGGAGAGGTCCGACTATTGCTGAGATCAAAGTTGTTAACCACGGGGACCAGTCAAGTAGGGATTCATACCAATTTTGTTGATTTAGTCGTTCACTTTCTCTTTCCTTAAGTCTTTTACGGACCTCAGCCAAAGATTATTTTATAACTCCAGAGTGATTAACATAGAAACAGCACTGTTCCCCTAGGGCAACACAGAGTCCTCCTTTTTCTAGGAAAAATCCAGCCCTCTCCTATTTTGTAAGGTTACCTCAGCTAAAGAGGATAGAGAGTCTTCGAGGTGGCAGATAGATGTTTCTAATGATTGTATGTCTAGGTCTATGGCCTGTCTAAGAAGGTGATAATTTTTATGCTGGAGGACTAGCACTGAAGCCCCCAGACTGGCTGCAGTGGCTCTGAGTAAAATAGACAAGACAACTGCAGTGGTTCCTATGGCCCTACCAAGTCTAGACTCTTCTGAGACTCTGGTTTCCTTTTCTATGTCTGTTCTATAATATAGGTGGGGAACCAGCTGCACTAGTACACAAAAATCCCCGGTCTGGTTTAAAAAGGGTGAGTGGAGGCATATAGTTAAGCCAGAGGTACAGGCCCACCAAGTGGAGTTGGGGGGCACCATATATAGGTTAGGTGCAGTAGCCCCTATCTCTTGAACAGAGTTACATAGATGTTGGTAAGAAAAGGGGACAATTTTATGTGAGGGAGTCACGCATAGCCCTTTTCCATACACTTGGGTGAGGGTAAGCCCCCTTCTCCCTGTAGGCAGGGGGATTCTACAGGCAGTGGGGTCAGAAGTGACAACATAATTTCCTGGGAGAACTAACCCATCATAAAAGGGAGGGCTCGGGTCCATGCAAAACCAGCAATGGATAGTAAGGTTAGGGGAAATATTATTTAAAGCAATAAAGGTGGCATTTAAGAGGTTCATAAGCCCAGGGGATGGCTGCAAGAGCTCTTGGACTCGTCGGATCTCTGGGGGTGTGGATCTAGGTGTGGGCAAAGTAGCAGTTTTATCCAGTCAGACAATTTGGCTAGAAGCTGGCCTCTCGACAGATTTAAAAATAGTTAAGGCCGGTATTGGTCATCTTATAGGCTGTAACACTGTCTGTCTTAGTTTGTTTCTTCATTGCTGTGACAAAACGCTCTGACCACTATGAACTTGGGGAGGAAAGGGTTTATTTAGCTTACATCTCCCAGGTCAGAGTTCATCTGGGAGTCCAAGGTAGGAACTCAGGGCAGGAACCTGGAGGCAGGAGCTGGAGCACAGGCCATGGAGGAATACTGCTTACTGACTTGCTCCCCTGGCCCCTGCTCAGCCTGATTTCTTATGCTACATAGGCCCACCTGTGTAGGGGAGGCACCACCCACAGTGGGCCCTCCAACATCACTCATTAAGAAGATGCCCCTCAGACATGGTCACAGGCCAGTCCAATAGAGGAAATTCCCCAATTGAAGCTCCCTCAACCCAGGTGTATCAAGTTGACACTAAAGATATCCAGCACACTGTCCAAGCCAGCCCCATCTGGGTCCCCACCACTGGACCCACCTGAAGATGGACTGAAAAAAGTATTCCTGGGTCAGTCCCTGTGGTGTATAACCTGAGGCCCCAAGTTCTCCCATCAATCCATTTTTGTAGGTTTTTAAGTTCCTTTCCTTTCAGAGTGAAGCTCAAGGAGATAGGGTTGCATCTAGAGGAGGAACAGGGTCCCCTGAATTGCCTTGATCTGGGGTTTCGCCAAAGGGTTAGGCCTGGGACCGCAGTTACCTGGATCAAGTCAGTAGCGATGGATGGGGGCAGCCCAATTAATATATCCAGTAGACACACAGTTCCATGAAGCACAGAAATAGTCCCCTGGCCCCCCACAGGTACTTCTTCAGTCACCATTGTACCCGGGCAAACAGAAGTAGTGCTCCTTCATCCTCTTTCGCCCGATGGGAGACTGGCAAGCATAATTTACAGTGCCTGACAGGGTGTACAATCCCCAAGACCCTTCAAGCAGGTAACAGAGGTTGAATGGAATCTTGGGGAACCAGACTTGGGGAGGTGCCAGGTGGGAGGAGATGTTCACTATCTTTCCAGTGGATGTGCTACTAACTACCCAGGTGAGGTTTTGGAGTCCATCGGGGGAGTTAGCTAGGGCAGGCTCTATAAAAAATAAAAATAAAAAAGAAACAAGGGCTATGGTGTGGCAGAGATTTTTAGGTTGAAAGGATTGTCTTTTACCCATGTGACCTTCCATCTCTTGTCAACTTGGTCTGACCAATCTTCTGATGCAGGCTTTAGATGTGAGTGATGTATCCAGATCCAGACACCAGACACCTTAACCGCAGTAGGGGTGGTGAGGATCATGATGTGTGGCACCATCTATTGAGGTCTGAGGGGCTCCTTGTGGTGCCGTCTCACCCAAACAAGGTCTCCTGGCTTGAATCCGTGTGGTTGGGCTGGTGGCAGTTCATAGTTGTGGGACTAAAGGTGTGGCACCACCATGCCTGGCAATAAAAAATTTTTTTTTAAAAAAGAGATCTTGCCAGGCGTGGTGGTGGCACACCTTTAGTCCCAGCACTTAGGAGGCAGGGGCAGGTGGATCTTTGTGAGTTCGAGGCCAGCCTGGTCTACATAGTGAGTTCCAGGACAGCTGGGGCTACAGGGAGACCCTGTCTCAA